GTATTCATTGGGGTTCCGCTAGTAACTTTTGATTGTGAAATAGTAATTCATTCCTTCCTTCATTTTTCTCTTGTTTAACAAATGTGTTCCACATTTTCCAAAAAGGGGGGGGGGGGAGTACTGTGGCGACAGCCCTACGCTATTATTTAATGTCAGCATTTTCTACTAAGCCAGGCGGACGCAAAGACTCGACAGTTAGTCGGTAACAAGCCTCGATACCAATCACACGGCTATTCGCGCACCCGACTCCGCCCGCCTGGTTAAACCTTTCTGTGTGTATTTCATGTATGTGTCGTGTGATACAATAAACTTTGGTTAACTACCTAAATTGAGTATTTATTACATCTCCACTCAACACCTCAGATAGGTAGTGTATATTTAGTGTGCTCCTTTATCCCAGTACTAAAGGTAACCTCAAATCACCGCCGAGCATTAGATTTGACAATGTTACTGTAAAAAATAAAACCACAGTGTGTTATCTAGGATTAGTTTTAGAAAGAAACTTTTCATTTATCGAACATATTAAAATAGTTAATGAAAAGTCTAAAAAGAGTTTCTGTGCATTGACAAGGATATCAACTGCGACATGGGGTCTATCATTTAATACATTAAAGATCATATACGGAGCTACTTATTTAGGTTCTATGTGCTATGGTGCACCTGTATGGGCCGATAGGGCGACCGTAGGCGCTGTTCGTCGCAAACTGTTACAAGGCCAACGACTTGCACTGATATTCTTGTGTAAGGCATATAGGACGGTTAGCACTGAGGCTTTGCCGGTGTTGGCGGGTGTGCTTCCGGTCGATCTCGAGGTGCAGAGACGTGCAGCCATGTACTATTCAAGACAACAAAACATGGAATGCGATTTTTTGGGCGCGCGGGATCGCGGTAAAATTACAAGATTGCTTCAACAGCAGCCCGATGTCTATAATGACCTCATAGACGAATGGCAACAACGCTGGGATGAATCATCCAAGGGGCGCCATCTTTACCAATTCTTTCCATCTGTTCGCGAACGGTTGTCGAGGATATGGCTTGAGGTGGATCACTGTGTCGCTCAATTTCTTACGGGTCATGGTAACTTTAAGAGCAAGCTTTAGTCATTTAAATTAGTCGAGTCACCATTGTGTCAATGCTCAACACCTAACTCTCACTATGAACAGTCTGCTTATCATATCCTCTGGGAATGTAGTCTTTGGTATAATGAACGTAATATAATGCTGAATAGCTTGCAGGCGACATCTGGGGCGGTATACTATGGGGATCTTGTGTCAACTAGGGTGAATTTCCGTGCGTTTAGGCGATTCTGCCATACATATTATAGAAATCAAACATAGCTCACGTAGGACCCGTAATATTTTGTGGCCGTGGTGCTTCCCTGTTTAAAAGGGTGTATGCCCATTTTACTTCATTTTGTCTCCCGCTTTGCTAAGGAGGGAAGTGGATTTACTGTATTTCCAACTCCTCCAATTTTCTTCTGATTAATTTCGTTGCGGGTTCCAAGACAGTTTAATTTCTTCCTGGGAATTCCCGAGTGTCATAACTCGGTGTGTTCGTGGGTCACTGCTGTGGATCCTGGTGTACAGGAGTTACAGTGGTGGGCGTGTGGGTGGGATTAGTCCCAATTACTCCTGGTGTAATTAACTTATCCGCTCGCTTCACAGCTCGTAAATTACGCGCGACCTCCGATTGTTCGGGCCACTTGAGCGGAACGCGCCTCAATTGCCCATCTGTTTTTTACGTTACCGGCGAGCGGGTCGTATTACAAACAATCGGTCCTTGCGACTAAGTTTGTTTTGAAAGGTTGTCAAGTGTTATATTTTTTATGTTTACTATGAAACTAGCTATACAATGCTATCTTTTATTTATGAGGTTACGACTCTGGTGTCGAGTTATGTTGTGTTGAAATTGAGATAGCGCGTTTTAAAGCTCGTCTTGTGAATAAAAGTAAAGTGTGATACCTTTTGGTATCACACTTGCACAATCTACCATTTTATTAACATAAACATGTAGAAATACAGTCAACCAGACGTAGTAATAAGGCTGACTACGTAGTAATAAGGCTGACTACACACTATAAAGTATCGGGTATTATTTTCCGGATCTTACTTACGTACTAATATATATATATATACGAAAACTAATGTATATATGTATAATAAATAACTAGAAAAATAATGTGACTTTATAATATAAAAAAAAAAAAAAACAAAAAAAATTAACCCAACTCTTTGTGATAATCTCCGTAACACCCCTCTAAGCACAGATTAATTTGGCACGTGCCACAACTCCACATTGTCGAGCGCCGCACCTTCTTACTTGCGCAAAATTTGCACCGCTGCTTTTTTTCTTTTTTCACAGGCAAATGCATCGGCTGTGGCAATGTGGGTTGTTCGGGTGCTTGAGGGGTGTTACAGTAAGTCTCCAAGATTTCCTCTAGGAGCCGTACCCTGAAGGATCTATTACCGAGCTTGTCGGATTCTGTGCGGCCGTGGTCATGGATAACCGACGAATTGTGTATCAACACGTTCAAAAGTGGGCGGAATAGTTTTTTATACCAAATTAGATTTATGAACGCCAGTTTCTTATGAATTATAGTTGCATAGGTTTTAAGATTAAATAGACAAAAAGACATCGATGAGTGAGGTTTGAACCGTCAGTATTTTCGTCCCAATGATCCGACTCGCGTTCACGTTACACCAAGAGAAACTTACTGACTTTAGTCAAATTAAGTATTGCTTTATAGGGCCTGTGACTTTCAAAAATAATTTATCGGTTATTATGACTCATAACTTAAGAATTTTGTTCACATTCTTGACACTTTGTAGCAGTAAATGAGTTATCCTTTTATACTTAATTTTAAATTTTTACGGCACTTATTACACTTGGAATGTTATTATATTCATTTCCAAAGATATTTAACACTGCTTACGTTTGTTTTTACACTGTATTTTGTACATATTTAGTTTTGTAATGTTCACTTTTTATTTTAAATACTACTGATTGTACAAGTTTGCTCACATTCACACACTTTTAATTAACTATTTAACGACATATTTAGGTACAAGTAACAGCGATAGTTATTTAATTCTATTATTTTTTGAAAATATTACACAGAGCTTTCTTAGTGACGTCTTTACCAGATAGCGCCATCTAGCGGAGCCACTTGAGAAACGGTACAATGATGGTCTTACAGATAAACTAATACATGTATATTATTACCTCCTCCTCATCGATTTCGCTGCCACTGTTGACCTCCAGGTCGCGCTCTATTTGTACGTCTGCAATGTTTTTTGTTGTTGATAAAATTTGTATACAAACAGTATGTACCGTAAGTCGGGTCGGGGGCAATTTTAAAGTGTGTAACTCACCAATCTCGATGGACAAATTAGATCTGGCGCTCCTGCCCGAATCGAATGCTTCCGTTCGAGTGCTGGTTGCTAAAACATTTACCCAAAATTTTAGTGATGACAAAAATAACAGAAAAACAGTGGACACAACAGGACTATATTCGTGAAAAGAAATATTCATTAAAAATATTGAAGGAAATATTTTATATTAAAATACTTACTAGGCGTGCAATTGATTAGTTCAATGTCGGCAACGAGGGGTGGGAAAGACACCTCCATGACCTGAACGATCCCCGTGGATGGGCTGAAGCGAATGCATGATCTGACGATAAAAAATTGTGATGCCAATTCATTTTGTAAATTTTAGACATTCATTTTCAGGCTTTTACACACATAGCACACATAGGCATTATACACCTAGACTTATTTCGCTTGAGGAGTAGTTAAATTGATGTCCTCTTTCACCCTCTTCAAACACCTTTGTGTCAATTCTGATAAAAAAGTACGAAGTAAAGTAAAGTATTGCATGAGCAAATGTAAAAAACAGTAGCTTTTGTCTTACCGAGGAAAGAATCTTCCTGGTGACATTTTGGAGGCGTCCCTTCTATGATATCATCGTCGCTTTCTTCCGCTGCTGCTGTTGTTAATGGAATAAAAAAGTGCAATGTATAGTATTGCATGAGCAAATGTTAAAAAGTGATTTTAGTTATAGTCGTACCGAGACAAGGTCCTTGCAGGGAAAGTCGAGAAGGCGTGCCCTGGATGACGTCATCGTTGGTCGTCTCCTTCGCTGTAGTTTCATTTTAGGAATAAAAAAGTACAATGATGAGCAATACATGAGCAAATATAATGAACCAATTTTAGCTATGGGAGCAATTTAAATCGACGACAGTTGCCTCGACAACCATTTCTGAATTTAGAACGGAATTTAAAAAAAAAAAAATGTATTAATAGGGATAAGTAGAAATAACAGTTACGTATATGATAAAACAATGCATATACCATGCACAGACTGAACCTTTTCCCATGGCTGAAGGACCCTTGCTGGAGGGATGGAGGGCACACCGGGCAACAGTGGGCAAGTGATCTACTGTCGTTCGTCGGGTACCGTCCTCTTACCCTTCCCCTTTCCTTTCCTGTATTCAAAAATAAATATTAGTAGTTAATAGTAGTAGTAGTAGTTAGTATTAGATTAAATGCAGGTTATGGCTGATTACCATAAACAAGTTTGTCGATTTTGAAAGAAAACATGAGAAAACGCGGCAAGTCGTAGAGAGTAGGTTCGAAGACGTGTCAAGTGCAGGATTGGGGCGCACGTAGTAGTATTTATTTTATTTATTTATTTATTAAACAATCTAATTACAATGTTGGTTAGTAATGCCTTAAAACCTATGTTAGGTTAGTAGTATTGAAATGGTAACCTTATAACCCATGTATTATGCGGTAACTAGATACAGACTAAAAATAATAGATACCTACCTACATATTAAAATGAATTATTGCTTATTTTAGCTCAACTATATGGTGGTAATATTTTCACATGAAGGAGAAGAATATGTGTCAGCTGCGCTTAAAGAGTGACTTCGCGAAAATGAAACTTTGTTGTGGCCTAGAAACAAAGGAATAGAGAGAAAAGCTATAAAGTTAAATATGAAACCTGAAGATGATTGGATTACTTATGACAATGTCCGAATAGTAGGTTATTATGGTAAGTTCTTTATTATTTTTCTTCTAAATTATTTTTCCCACAATTTTTTATTGATACATATTTTTAACCTATTCACGCCACCAGCTCACTTGAAAGCAAGTGAAGTTGTGGCCATTAGCTTGTCTAAAAATACCCTATTCACTCATAAAGCTGTGAGGCCAGTTATAATTTTTTTATTAACCGTTGGAACCCCTCATCTCCCCCATCAAAGATAATTTTACCATTATTGTGTAAAATATTTTCAATGTTTTAGCATCACTGAAGGAAGCTCTTGTTATTGAAAAAAAATAAACAAAATAGTAGCAGCAGTGAATCTGAAACGGTATTACGAGATAAAGGTAAAAGAAAAATAATTCCAAAGAAGAAATATCGCGATGACTCCATTTCTCCGCCACCTCTGTTAGAAATTAATAGTAGGTGTATGATTTTTAGCGTTTTAAAATTAGATACATTTTAAATCATACTTTTATAAAAGATTTAAATACATAACTCTTATTCTCTGTTTTAGAAAATGTTGTATCTTCGGAAAGTGATACATTCCCCACTGCAAGTGACATACATAATACAAGTTTAACAATCCTCGAAGAAGACGTTAAACAGTCGTCACAAGAACCTGTGATGCCGATCCAGTCCTGTTCGAGTGATGTATCTATTGGAGCTGGGTCAGGCAGTGCTTTCAGCATGGGTAACATAGGTAAGTGTTTAATATGTACTAGCTTCGCATAGATGCGCATATTCGGCTTATTCGAAAACCGACAAGTTGACGGATACGCGTATTCGCTATTCGTGCTTGTGTTATGCGTACGAATAAAGCGAATATACTCTCCACACTTATGCGCGTGAATAACCCGCATAACGAATAGCACATAACTCAGCGGGGTTCAAGCATAACATCCCACTTACTACATACTTGGAGCTACGTACCTAAGTTCAGGTGTATCTACCCAAGATAATTTTATGAAGAACAATTTCAGTATAAGAAAACATTTTGTAACCGCTTTACGTGTCAGGCGGACTACTCACCGGCTTACCCAGCGGAGAAATACACGAGATTACCTCAGGGCGCCTTGTCGAAAACAGAAGGGTGTGCGTGTGGGCAACCTAAGGGACTCCTCAGAGAAAGACAACTTACACCTCAGTCATACATACATGTATATTTCAACTAAATACAGAGTTACAATTAAAAAAAACATAAAATAGTGGGTATATAAAAAAAAACCCGCAGCGGCGCGCGTCAAGGCCGAGCTGATGCTGCTCGGAGCCTCCTCGTCATCAATCCAGCAGGCCACTTCCACACCAGCCCGAGTCGGCTATTTATATTAGGTATAATGGAAGGTTCAATATTTATATTAATTACATTAACAAGAATTACGTAACCCTTGAATGAGGCTGACCGATTGCTTGGTGAGCCGCGTGACTGCTAGTTTACCAGAGGGTACTGAGTAGCTCGATTACGCACAAGAAGGACACGAACAACAGAGCACGCCTTCTGAGAGGTTTATCTTGACCCGAAATCTGGAGCCCTACGAATGGATTAGCACTCATATAATCGTTCAGGTTCCAGAAACAAATGACTACAAGGAAATTAAGATTAACTTACCACTGACGTGGGTACTTAGGACAAAGAATTTACTAAAAATTAATTAACAGACGAATAAAATACTACTTAATATCGGAAGACTTGAATCACCAGAGTGTCCCCTGCGGCTGAAAGCCGGACTTATATATGCTCGGTTTGTGAAATTTCTAGAAAGAATCCCTTCTTTATCATTTTAAATTGTCATTCAAATTATCATCGAGGTTAACACGACTCAATTCAACAGTAACCCGCTTCCTATCATAACAGGACACTTTTAACACCAATACAATTTGTCAGGATAGATTATTACTATGACTTACCAAAAAAAAACCACGCCATCTAGTGGTCCGATGGCGGACGAAAAGACATCAATACTATAGTTACAATTTACTTCGGATAAATCAATAAATGCGACGCGGGGCAACAGGTGTCACTGTTTACAACTCCGTACGCAATACAAATACACGGTGATTTTGAAAGCGTTTTGGAAAATAAAATTTTGAATTATTTATCAGTAACAGAAGCTATATACAACGTTAATTTAATAAAATATATATTTTTTTTAACATCAAAGTCGATATTCATATCGTTTACAGAGAAAAAGTGAGAACCAGTAGTAGTAGGCTATTTAATCACACGTAGGTAAATACTACGAATAGAAATACTATGCGTTTTAATATCGTGTCACATAAACGTCGCGCGCTCACGCGCAAGGTCAAGGACGTTTAAATTATTATTCGCCGGAGTGTAGTGCGTGCATACCTGGACAATGAGTTTAGTGATCGGTGGATAGGTCGAGGAGGGCCAGTGCCTTGGCCACCTAGAAGCCCGGACTTAACGCCCCTGGATTTTTTCTTATGGTTGGAAATAAAAAGACTTGTTTATACACGGGAATATGAAAGCCGTGAAAATTTACGCATTGCGATAGTGGACGCTTTTGATAAAGTGAAAAGTGATAGAGACACATTAAGAAAATTAAAAAACAATTGCATTAAACGTGGACGTTTGTGTATTGAATGCAGCGGACTCCATTTTGAGCAGTTCCTTCGATACAGAGAAGTGTAAATAGGTATGAAAGTTAATTATTCTGTAGATAGCTCCGATTTTTTAAATACGCCTGAAATATTTATACCTGCAGTCCGTTGATAAATTGATTTGTTGTGAAAAGAACAATCGTGGTTAATAATCGAAAAGAAGTTTAAATAAAATAGGTATTTCCGACGGTCCTAAGCCCGTGTAAAGTATGAAGGGCAAATTGGAGTCTATCTACGTAAGTACTCGCTAGCTCGCGCCTATAGGTATACTTTTATCAGCTGCTGTTAGCGTCGGCGGTGCGCAGCGGCCGCCGAAACGCCCACGGACGTGTTTCATTCATATAAGATAATGAATGAATGATCAGTCCATTACTACTTTCCAAGTCGATCGAGTAAAAATGAATATTAAAACAGAAACTTTTTTTTAGACAACATTACAATTGATTTAATCATTTTTATTGGTACTATAGAGGATTCCAAATTAAAATACTTCGTTTCCAAAACGCCTATAAAATCACCGTGTATAATGAAAAAATAACTGTTACACCACCCCCTCCCTCAAAGTATTCCCTGCGTAGTGTGCGCAGGGAATATCATCAACAGAGCCAAAACCCATATAAATGGTTTTACAAACCCCGTGGATTAGGAAAACATTATTTTCTATGACTCGCGACAACAAAGCCTGTAGCTATCGATTTGGTTTCCCCTCGTATCTGTTTTGTAAGACCAGTTTGAATGGTGTCCATTAAAATCGCCTAATATAAGCGACTTTCTGTTTGCCATAGAAAACAAATAGTCCCATGTCTGAGAATTTGTCGACGATTCCGGAGCACAGTAAATGGCAATTAAATGTTCTAATTGATTGCAATTAAATAATTTTATATGAATTAATTCTAAAGCAGAATTAGTTCTATGTATTTCAACCCGTTGTGTTTGAACTGATTTATGCACTATAATTGCCACACCACCATATCCATCTCTATCGAGACGAAAAATATAGTAATTATTGATATTTACATGAGTATCTGGTGTAATCCATGTTTCACTTACCACCGCAATATGGATGTGTTCTTGGATTAATAACTGTTCGAATGACTTTAGTTTGGGCTTAATACTTCGGGCATTCCATTGTATTATGTTCAATCTAATTAATGTATTGGAAGCGTTATCCATTAACTGACGTAAATATATTTTTTAAAACAGACATATCGGGTATTAAATTACTAAGGAATATGTTAAGCCAATCTACAACCACTTTTAACCCATCCTTAAATTGTGTTTGAATCTGATTTTTTATGTTATGTATCATCTCTTAAATGTTTTCCCACACACGCCGAAGTGGCGATATTTCGCGAGATTTTTTCCTTGTATGAGGTTGTGTAGTTTGAGAATCTTGAGGGTCAGCTGAATCTTCGGGGTTAGAGTCAGTAACAAACGTATCCACTATAACATTATCGGACAGGTGGACCGGAACATTTGTTTTCTTTTTTTTTGTGATAGTTGTCTTTGGTCGCTCGTTGATCTCAGCTAATTCGAATTGTTCGGTGTCAATACTCGGTGCACTGGTGTTAGATGATCTTTGAGAGGCAAGGCCATTGTTGCTATTAATTAAAAACTTGTTTGCTTCGGCTGTACCACGCGGAGAAGGCGGAATAAAAGTCACGGCTTTTTGATAAGTACACTTCAGCTGTGACATAATCTCACGAATCCGTCTTTCCCTTGCGTAAACTGGACAATCCCTTGATAGTACTTCGTCGTTCGCTCTCGTTGGAGACGGTCGTGTCGAAGTGCGCGCTGAATTTTTAAATTTTTGAATTTAATTAATTCGGTATATTCGTGTCTCTGTGGTTCGAAAATCGGTCCCTCCTGCTCTCTCTTGGGGTAGTGCCCATAAGAGGCAGCGGCCATTTTCATTTTTGTACGGCGTAAAGTGAGACAGAGACTCGGTGTTTTGACATTTGTGAAGTGCAATCGGCCCCTCTCGCTTCTTCTTGGGACATCGCCCATAAGGGGCGGCGGCCATATTGTGTTCGCGAGTGAGACAGTGACTCGGAGTGAGTGACAGTGACACTAGTGACAGTGACACAACCGCGATAGTGACGTTTTAACAATAGTGCGTGTGTTCGCCTATAGAGGGCGCAGTTAGCGCCTTTCTAGTTCGTGTTTTGCCCGCAGAGGGCGTAGTTATCTGTGCAAGTGCGCGTTCTCGCCTCCAGAGGGCGTAGTGTCAGTGACAAAGTGCCAGGAATTTCAGCCTGTGTTGTCGCCCACAGAGGGCGCGCGGGTGACGTGCCCGTCACCACATAGTGTCTCGGAGCGGTAGGGGTGAGTGCCCATAACATACCAGTGTTGTGAGTATAACTCACTTGACGACCTGTTGGACGTTCGTGCATCGCATCGCGTCATAGTGTTACTAGTGCGTAAGCACAAGTTTATACCATCGGCAGGAACGTCACCGAACTTTACACTCTTTTCTTTTTTTTTCTTTGTTGTTGTTGTTGTTCGCTTGTTTTGACTAGTTGTACTAGATATGAGCAGCTCCTCGGAGGAGGGGGGTCACCCCCCTCCCCGACCGATGGACCCGTTTAGGCCGAGGGGGTCCCTGCGAAGGACCCCTCCAAGAGAGCTGAGGGCGGCGGGCGGGTCGCCTGTCAGGACCCCACCCGAGGTCTTAGAAATGGCTCAGGCAGCATTTGATTCTGTCATTGCGGCGGCATCTGCGTCTCCGAAAGGCATCCCGGCCTACCCCCCGACTCCAACATTTTCCCCCGCGCCCGTGGAGAACCCAGCGTCCGTGGCACCGGCTGAGCGCCCCCGCCCAGGGGCGGGAAAGCGGATCCTCTCTCCGGATCAAGTGGAAACCGAGGCGAAGCGTCGCACTGCCCGCGACATATCGGTGGTCTGCGGGTCGACGGATCAGCTAGCACCGCCGATCATACACACGCCGGCTACGGAATACGGTTCGCCATTCTCATCTGAGGATGAGGACTTCCTCCTTGGGGATGGGGACATGGGGAGGGCCACGACGAGGCAATTACTTGCCAAGGCGAACTCGGCGTGCAGAAGCATTGCGGCGGTTGCGGGCGGGCAGGCATCCCGCCTCAACAAGGCAGACCTGGCGGCCATTAATGGGCAGTTACGTGTGCTCGCTGAAATAGTGGGCCACTGCTGCATAATGGTGGAAGGTCAAAAGACAACGGTAGCGGAACTAGAAAAACACCAAGGGATGCTGGACGAGGCCCGCGCACGAGAAGCCGCAAGAGCCTCCAGAGCGGAGGCTGAGGCCGACCGGGCCCGAGCTGCGGCGTCTGCAGCCGCTGTCAACGAGGAACAAGGCACCTGGCAGACGGTGAATTACGCTAGGGCATTAAAACGGGCTCCTAAAGCCCACCCATTAAACATTCCTCCCCCCCCCGCTGCAACCCTGGCAATTTACCCGGCGGAGGGAAGCGACTTAAAATCGGCAGAGCAGACCAAAATGGTTCTCAAGAAGTCGGTCGAGCCTAGAGAGCTGGGTGCTCAGATAGTTGGCCTGCGTCGGGTCGCCAACTCGGGCCTGATTCTCAAGACGGCCACCCAGGAGGCAGCATTAAAAATAAAAGCAGCAATGCCGGCGACCCTTCAGGTAAGGGACGCCAAGTCGAGGTCGCCCCTGGTTGCCCTGCGGAACATGGAGGGTGACCCTAAGTTTGAAGAGGTCGTAGTGGCGCTACATGACCAAAATTTCAGGGGTGACCCTACGTGGACACTAGAGAAGCTTAAGAAGGAAGCCAGGATGGCCTTCAAAAAGTCCAGAAGAGGTGGTAACCGGACTACTGTAGTGCTGGCATGCTCCCCCTCACTACGGACAGCGCTAGTGTCCAAGGAAAGGCTCTACATCGGCTGGGAAGTAGTAGTAGTGGAGGATTACGCGGAGGTGACCTGCTGTCACAAGTGCCAACAATACGGTCACCCGGAGAAGCTGTGCCGCGCTAACACGCACACGTGCAGCAAGTGTGGCAAGGAAGGCCACAAAATGGAGGACTGCAAGTCGCCAACCTCTTGTTGTGCGACCTGCACAAAGTTTGGCCATCAGTCGGCCAACACACACGCAACGGCTTCTCGGGACTGTCCCGCTAGACAGAACGCAGAACGAAGGCTGATCTCCACTACTAACTATGGATTGTAGAGCCATGGTGAAGATAGGTCAGATAAACCTGGGGGGGGGTGAGCTCGCCACCAGGGAGCTCCCAGCCTTATCGCGGGACTTGGGGTTGGATGCTGTCCTGGTACAGGAACAGTTCTCCATGCCCCCAAGCGAAGCCACTAGCATCTTGCAGTGTGGCTCCCGTGCGCAAGCTGGCGTGTATTACCCGCGCCTTGACCTGCCCTGTGCTACACTTTACCATCTGTCCAATACTCACTGTCTGGTCTGTTGCTTGAGTGTGGGTGGGGACGACATTTATGTCGTCTCTTCCTACTTCAAGTACAGTGATGACATAGATCTACACTTGGACCAGCTAGGGCGGGTCCTAGACCACCTACGCGGTAAGAAGGTAATTATATGTGCCGACACCAACGCCCACTCCCCGATGTGGTTCTCCGAAACGCGGCAATACAGGGGTAGAGGACCTGAAGTAACCCACAGGAGAGAGTCGATGGAGGCCTTTATTTTGGCTCGAGATCTACAGATTGCGAATGCCGCCGGTGAACCGCACACATTCAGCACCGCCAACGGGGAGTCCAACATTGACCTAACGCTACACACCAGGGGCGTGCACATTCTAAACTGGAGAGTTCACATTGGAGCCAGTTCCAGCGACCATCGCTTAATTACCTTCAGTGTGGCGAGCTCAGGCTCATTTGCTCCACGCGCTGAGCTGCAGGGGGGGCTGCCGATTAGGTTCCGGGATCGCCGTGCAAACTGGGAACTCTTTGAATCGAAAATCCACGAGCGTATGGGTTGGATTAAATGGAGCACGCCGGCGTCCGCGGTATGTAAGCAGTTTAATAGTATAATTGTAAGAACAGCGAAAGATACCCTTGGGGTATCTCGTGAAAGTAAGAGAGACAATGGCTATGAATGGTGGACAAACGAGGTTGAGAGGCATCGGGTTGAGAACATGCGCAAAAGGAGGATGTGGCAACGTACCCGGAAACGGGCAGGCCAAGCGGAAATTGAGGCAAGAGAGTCGTTTCATCGTGCTAGGAGTGAATAATAGAGCGGCCATGGAGAGGGCGCAACTTAAATATTTTCGTGACATAGCCGAATCCGGTAATCAGGACCCCTGGGGTCTTGCTTACCGTGCCGCGTGCGGGAGGGTTCGCCCTCCACGCAATGTAATTAGTGGGACAAAGTTTGCCGAAGGGTATGCTGGGAGCGTGCGCGAGGCCGCGCACAGCCTTATACATAGCCTGTGTCCGGACGACCACCTGTCCAAGGACGATGTTTATCATCGACAGGTGCGCTTGGCGGCTGCGTGCTCGCCCTCAGGTGAGGATGCCCCCTCTCCGTCGGTACAAGATCTAGATAGTATAGTCAGGGCTTTGCCTAACACTGCTCCGGGAATCGATGGCATCTCGGCGCGCATCGTCAAACACGTTTGGCGTGCTGCGGCCGGTGACTTCACTGAGGTGTTTGCTAGGTGCATAAAAGAGGGAATTTTTCCGGACGTTTGGAAGGAAGGTAGGCTGCTTGTACTGCCGAAAGGCAACGACAAGCCCCTTACCGACCCGAAAGCGTACCGCCCCATCACGTTGCTACCCATACTTGGTAAGGTTTTAGAGCGCGTCATGTTAAAGTGCGCCCCGCAGATCAGCCGCGGGCTGTCGGACTGCCAGCATGGTTTCACTCGGGGACGGTCGACGGAGTCTGCACTTCTGCAACTCCTTTCATCTGCTAGGAACAGTTCGTCTCGGTACGTGCAAGCCGTTTTTCTTGATATCTCTGGCGCCTTCGACAACGCATGGTGGCCCATGATCTTGCTGAAGGCTAAGCGGGGGGGTTGCCCGCGTAACATCTACTCGATGCTTGCGGGCTACTTCGTCGATAGGCGCGTTGGCTTGTTCGTTGGCAATCATGTCGAGTGGAAGACGGCAACTATGGGTTGCCCGCAGGGATCGGTGTTGGGACCCACGCTCTGGAATGTCCTGATGGATGACTTGCTTCGGTTGCCGCTCCCTGGGGGGGGTGGAGATTGTGGCGTACGCCGATGACGTGACGATCCTGGTTGAGGCGGATTCCCGGGCGAGAGTAGAGGCGACGGCCTCTACCGTTTTACAACTCGTCGGTGAGTGGGGGACCAGAAATCGGCTGGAATTCTCCTCCTCGAAGTCGTCTACGATGACTCTGAGGGGGAAACTACAGCGTCCCCCCACCATCAGGTTCGGCGGCGAATCGATCAGGAGCGTCACGTCAACCACAGTCTTGGGGGTGGTAATCGACGCAAGCCTGTCGTTTGCTCAGCACGCAGCATCCATTGGGGAACGGGCGGCAAATTGCTTCGGCAAGATGTCGAGAGTGTCGGCGAGCTCATGGGGGGTTAGGCATAGGGCACTCCGGGTGTTGTACCAGGGTACGTACGTCGCTACGGTGACGTACGCTGCCGTATGCTGGTACGAGCGTGCGTCCCTACACGTTGTGCGGAGCGCGCTTCTGCGCACCCAGAGACCGGCCTTGGTCCTTCTGACCAAGGCGTACCGAACGACGAGCAGTTCTGCCCTCCCGGTATTGGCCGGCGTACTTCCGGCTGACCTCGAGGTAATCCGTGCTGGCAGACTAGGCGTAGCGCGTACACAGCACGCGACCAAGGTGGAGCTAGCGGCGGAGAAACGTCGCAATTGGGACCTCGTCGTCGACGCCTGGCAAACCAGGTGGGACACCTCAGAGAAGGGGAGGGAAACATATCGGTTCTTCCCTGACGTGGCGGTGAGACTCGGGGCAACCTGGGTCGAACCGGACTATGAAACGTCGCAAATCTTAACCGGACATGGTTGCTTTCGAAAAAGGCTCTGTGATTTGAAGCTAACCGAAGTCAGCGAGTGCTACTGCGGATTAGGCGTAGAAGAGGATATGCATCATGTGTTGTGGGAATGCCCACTGTATGAGGAACAAAGGAGTAGGTTGCTGAATGGGATAACTAGGCTCGAAGACGGACCGGTGTACTACGGTGACCTGGTTTCCTCTGAGGCGAACTTCAGGCAGCTACGGGACTTCGCGCACGGGTGGCACGACATTAGGAGCAAATTGGAGCGATGATAACGGCGGCTATAGAGCGCGAACACGAAGTCGCCGTTATGTGACGTCAAGCCCCAGAAAGGGGAGAGTGTCCAAAGACAAATAGGGACGGACATAGAGATAAACAATATGTAGGGAGTCAAGAAAGGACACGCGTGAAAGGCCCCGAGCAAGTAGCGCGTGTCCCTCCCGTGCTTCGGCCCGTTATAACCGAGAGGTTGGTAGGGCCATGGGAAGGTTGGAGGGTGTAAATCCCTTGATAGTGAAATATGATTAGCAGAGCAGTTGACACACTTATAAATAGGTATATCACAGTTTGCGTGATCATTTTTGGAACATTTCGGGCAGAGAGGCTTGTTAGAGGGGCACATCTTCGATGTATGACCGAACCTCCAGCATCGTGAGCATTGTGTCACAGGGAACACAAACGGAGAGACAGCAATTCGTAGGTCCATTAAATAAATATGACTTGGTAAAGAATTACCCTTAAAACCAATTCTCACGGTTTTACTCGGAGTCCATCCTTCCTCCGTTCTTCTATTCATCCGCTTAGCGGTCACAAGTTCTTTATCAGCCCGAAAACATTTTATGAGCTCCGCCTCTGATAGTTCCACATCTATATCTTTGATGATTCCATAGCATAAGTCAACTTCCCAAGTTTTTTGTCGGCGCCAACCAAGTTCACTTAAAGCGGTACAAGATAAAAACTTCTCGGCGTTAATTTCCTTATCAAAAGTGAATGATACTTTATAAGGGTTAACATATTTAACTCTTGTGACTCCAGTTATTTTATTTTCGTTTAGTAACTTTGCCGTAGCGAATTGCTTAGGTAGTTTTTCTTTAGAATATACGCATATCTGCCACATATTTTCTACCGATTGCGTGCTGTAAAGATCTATAGATTTTCTTTTCTTCGCAACCAAAGGTACTTTCCGAAGCAACCGTGCCCGGAAAGCACCTGCGTCAGCCGGAAGGAAAGGGTCCCGTGCTGCCGCCTTGCCCACTCGGCGATGACCGGCTGGAGAGCCCATGAAATAACAGGGCCTCCGTCTTATCTAGGGCCACCCGTAAGCCCAGCGCCTCAATGCGCCCGACCACCAGGGAGACTCCCCTTGTGGCCAGGCGCGCCGCCTCTTGGAAGTTTGCCCCCCGGGCTGTCACCAGGGTATCGTCTGCGTAACAGATTACACCCAGCCCGGGGGGGAAATCGGCGCGAAGGGCCCAGTCGTACCCTATGTTCCACAAGAGGGGTCCAAGAACAGACCCCTGTGGAACACCGCACGACATGGGCCGACACCTCAAATTACCATCTCGGTCCTCGTACACGACGGTACGCTCCTCTAAATAGTCTGCCACTAGCCGCCTCAGGTACTTTGGCACCCCATGATAGTGGAGTGCTTCCCTGATGCAGCTGAATGGCAGACTATTGAATGCGTTGGCGATGTCCAATGACACCGCCAACAGCACGCCGCCACAGCTCACAGCCTCTTCGGTCACGGCCCTCAGGCGCAAAATAGCG